CAATAGGCTATAGGAGAGAAGGTGGAACTAGTTAAAAAACCCCTAGATTTTAGTGCAGGAATTGAAGCAGGGAAGTTGGTAGGCAAAGAGCTTTTAGAAAGCTGCCACAGGAGCAAGAGAAGCAAGTGCCTTCGAAAGGTGTTTCCTTGTTTCTTAAATGGTTTTCAGTAATTGCTTTTCTCCTGTCTGTTCCACAGCAGTAGACCTGTGATGGAATCTGCTTTCTCTTCTTTCCTCAAATATACAAAACTCCATCTTGATGAAGAGTGGGTAGACGAAATGGGTAGAAGATAGGTTTACTTATGATAGATTAGAACTTCATTTTTTTTAATTCTTCGCTGGTGTTTCTATGTTTTGCATTTCCACTTATGTGACTCTTAACAGTTTTCTACTGCTGTTTGTGTTGACTTATTTAAAGATGTGGCATATGTCAGAACTGTAGGGTAGGAAATGTAAAGATTCAGATTCAACATAGGGCAAAATAAATGTTTTTAAATTTGAAAATAGTAAAACTTTATTGTGCAGGTGACAAAGTAATGATCTAGGGGGGAAATAAATAGTATTTGTGCTTGATTTTTCCTTATGAGGTGTTAGTTCATACTTGGGGAAAAAGGAAGTTAATCTGGATCTCTCAACTGCCAGTTCCATATCTAAGCACTGTTTTAATCTGAACTTTCAGGGGGGGGAAAAAAGCTTTATTTTTAACCTATGCCACTTGTAAAGCTTTTTGAAGGACAAACCCCAAGACTCTACAGCTCTAAAGATTACAACTTACACCAAGATGAAGGCTTGGTGTCCTGTTAATTTATTGTTTTAAGGAAGTAAAATTATATGTGCTGTTCTTAGTTTGGCTGTACTAAGTAATAAAAAGTTTGTTTCTAACAAGCAAAATGTTTCAATCAACCCTAGAGAACTTGGTTGTTTTCATTTTGCTCTGACCTTTTTAGCAAAAAACAGAACAGACTTATAAAGTCCTTTTGTATGGTTCTTCACAAAGGAGCTGTGAGCTGGCTTGTTAGTATTTCTGTGATGGAAGTAATCTTTCAAGAGTAAAGTTGGTGGGAAGGACACAACATTAAAAATAATTGCAGTATTTTAAGAGATGCAGTATATTGATGTTCCTGTTAAACCAAATATTTTCATCAAATAGCCTTTATTTCATAGCTATGGAAAAGTATTTACATTTTTTACTCCTTCTGCATGCCCAGTTGTCACAGAGACTACAGGTAGCGTTTCAGGAGTAAGCCTTACATCAGAACTGAATGAAGAATTGAATGACTTAATTCAGCGCTTTCACAACCAACTTCATGATTCTCAGGTCAGTCCTTGGATTGCACTGTATAAGTTTTGCCCGTGTCTATTTTTCTTATTCTGTTGAACAGTGCAGTTAAATGTTCGTTTTGCTTATTTGTGTGTATTTGCTAGTGGAGTGATTAGGGTTCCCACAAACTTGAAAGCTCAGCATCTTTGTGTTCTTAAGAGTTGTTAGGTGACTGATCTGTGCTTTCTGTCTCAGTTTTCCATGAAAATCCAGAGGAGTAGTTTCTATATTGCAACATAATTATATATGAACTCAATATATAATTGGGATATTGTGAGAGTGTTTTCAGTATCAGTTTCCTTTTATAATGTTCTTTGTTCTGGTGTTGAGCCTAGCAAGCCTGTAAGATGGCTTTTTGTTTCTTGCAGTTTATTTGGCTTTTTTCATAGTACTCTGAATGAAATGAAATTACTCTTTTTAGACCCAGTCTGTGCCAGACAATAGAAGACAAGCAGAAAGTCTTTCACTTACCAGAGAGATTTCACAAAGCAGAAACTCTTCAGTGTCTGAACACCTGTCAGATGAGAAAGCGCAGCTTTTTAACAAGATGCGAATGTTGCAGGGTAAAAAGCAAAAAATGGACAAACTGTTAGGAGAACTTCATACGCTTCGTGACCAACATCTAAATAACTCCTCTTGTAAGTAAATATAGGCAGAATTGTGTCTTTTCAACAATACGACTTTTCTAATGTGCATGTTTGTAATATGGTCTTTCAACTTGCAACTGGTTAATGAAATGCAGGTGATAAAGCTGTGCTGGGGCAATATTATGTAAATGTATGTTAATGCTGTTTAAGTTTCTGGCTTAATGGAGAGCTCTACAAACCTGTAAGATCATCCAGTCCATTAACCTAACACTAACAACTCCATCACTAAACCTATTAAGGGTAAAGTAATAATTAATTTCATGTTTCCTGGCTTGGTGGATGGATTATTTTTTAATGAAAGTAGAAAACTAGGAATTACTAAGGTTGGAAAGGACCTCTAAGATCATCAGTCCAACCGTTAACCCAAGACCACCATGCCTTTAAAGCATGTCCCGAAGTGCACGTCTGCCCGTTTTCTGAACACTTCCAGGGATGGTGACTCCGCCCCCTCTCTGGGCAGCCTGTTCCAATGCTTGACTACCCTTTCTGTGAAGAAATTTTTCCTAATATCCAACCTAAACCTTCCCTGGCGCAGCTTGAGCCCATTTCCTCTCATCCTATCACTAACTACTTGGGAGAAGAGACCAACACCCACCTCACTACAACCTCCTTTCAGGTAGTTGTAGAGAGCGATAAGGTCTCCCCTCAGCCTCCTCTTCTCCACACTAAACAACCCCAGTTCCCTCAGCCGCTCCTCATAAGGCCTGTGCTCCAGACCCTTCACCAGCTTCATTGCCCTTCTCTGAACACGCTCCAGCTCCTCAATGTCTTTCTTGTAGTGAGGGGCCCAGAACTGGACACAGTATTCGAGGTGTGGCCTCACCAGTACTGAGTACAGGGGCACAATCACCTCCCTGCTCCTGCTGGCCACACTATTCCTGATAGAAGCCAGGATGCTGTTGGCCTTCTTGGACACCTGGGCACACTGCTGGCTCATCTTCAGCTGGCTGTGGACCAATGCCCCCCAGGTCCTTTTTGGCCAGGCAGCTTTCCAGCCACTCTTCCCCAAGCCTGTAGCGTTGCATGGGGTTGTTGTGACCCAAGTGCAGGACCTGGCCCTTGGCCTTGTTGAACCTCATACAGTTGGCCTTGGCCCATCGATCCAGCCTGTCAAGATCCCTTTGCAGGGCCATCCTACCCTCCAGCAGATCGACACTCCCACCCAGTTTGGTGTCATCTGCATAATGGTGTAATGAAGTAATGATGATGAGTGGTTTTGCTAGTAGCACTTCGGTTTATAACATTATCAAAGTTGACTAATGTGAGGATGTGATGATGGGATTTTTTTCTTCAAGGCTTGTCTGTGACACATCTGACTTGTGGAGTGTATGATATGAACTTGAAGTTTTTGTATTTTTATGACAGTACATCTGTGTTTATGTACTCGGCACTTCAGATAGTTAGTAGCTTTATGGCCTTATGGGATTTGCTTGTCTACTGTCAAAAGACTTTCTCATGCGCTAGTTGCAGGGACTTTGATCATAGGCCATACCAGAGGAACTTAACTGTCTGAACAGACTAGAGTTTTGGCCTGTTCCTGAGATGGCTTTTTCTTCTCCTTAAAGTCTTGCTGTGGGCCTACTTGCTGCTCTTGCTTTCTTGTTTTTAGAAATATTTTTGTACTGGTGAAGTTTGTCCTATAGCTGGAAACTTCTGAGGGGTGATCACAGTGTATTCTGGTTAAGAAATGAGGCACTTGAAGCATGCTCCTGGAGAAGAGCAGATTGATTTAATAGTTACATTACTATACCCCCATCTTTCTACATGTACTTAATGCATATAATATGAACATACTTGGATGTGATTTCATGTAGCTGGAAAAAGCAAATGTCAAATCTACGTTCTACAGCATATGGATAGAAGAGCTTAGTAGAGGAAAAAAATTGATAGGATTTTTCTTTTTTATGTTAAATTTCAGAAAAAGCAATTTGGCCATAAATAAACCCTTAAAAGAACTCTTTGGGCAGATTCACAGCATGAAAGCTTCCACTTTTGAAGTTTGATAATGCTAAAAGGAACCAACTGAAGTCTTGTTTACGAAAGCTGCTTATTACTCTCTGCCTATTGGCATTGCATGCCATGAAACTTAAGACAAAAGATATTGTTCTTCTAAGAAAAGAAGTTACTAAATGCTGTTTTGTATGTTGGTAATGTTTTCTGTAGTTAAATTTTAATATAATTCAGTTAAGTGGGTTCCTTTTTTGCAAGTTGTTCATATGAGCTATATTTTTTCTCTGTAGTTTTTCCTGCTTCAGGTTCTCCTCAAAGGAGTATTGATCAAAGAAGTACAACTTCAGCTGCTTCCGGTCCTGTAGGCATAGTAACTGTTGTCAATGGCGAATCAAATAGCCTGGCATCTGCTCCCTATCCTCCTGATTCCCTGGTTTCTCAGAATGAGAGTGAAGAGGATGACAATCTAAATCCAACAGAAAAGCTTCAGTAAAAGTTCTTTAATTTTTTTCATAATGTGCTTTAGTGGTTCTGAGTGTTACTTTTTTAATAAGTTCTGTGTTAAGAAACCATTTCATATTTTAATCTGCTTAGTTTAGTATTAGAGACCATTTAGTAAATGGTCCAAGACAGTTAAATGAGTTCAGACCTTCAAGCAGAAGGTTCTTAGAGCTAGGAAGATGGCAGTAAACTTTAAGAACTATAAATTATATATATACTTTTCAACTCTACATAGATTTGATTAGTATGACAAAACACATAGCATATTCTTTTTTTTTTCCTTAGGAAGCTAAATGAAGTTCGTAAGAGGCTGAATGAGTTACGCGAATTAGTTCACTACTATGAGCAAACATCTGATATGATGACAGATGCTGTGAACGAAAACACTAAGGAAGAGGAAGAAACAGAAGAATCAGAAAGTGATTCTGAACATGAGGATCCACAGCCTGTTACAAATATTAGGTTGTTGTATTTTTTGTCATCCTAAATCTTTGTGGCTAAGTTGTTACAGGTTTCTGGAAGCAATACATTATTTCAGTAACCAGAAGTACCTTAATTCTGTGATTACATTAACTTTCCAAAATTTTTAATTTTAAGTAGTTTTCTTATGCAGATGCCTAATAATAATCTTGTGCTTGGTAACTTAGTGATATAGCAAATGTAGATTAGATTGGAAATTTAGAAAATCACTATAAGAGACTTCAAAATCCTTAACTCCTTTGGCTTTAAGCACTGAATTATGTGTGTAGAATTCCACTGGAAGGTTAACAGGCCTAGACTAGAGAATTGGAATAAAAACAAACTTCAATTTAGAGATGCATTTAGAGCTATAGTCTAACAGGGAAACTGTGCATCAAGGATCTTCACTGTGCAGAAATTAATACTAATTTAGCTATGGATCATATAAAGCTTTTATAATACAGACATACCTTGAAAGCCTCTTGTATTGTTGTTGATCTAGCAAGTGATAATTCTTATCTGCTTCTGATTGCTTAAAAAAAAAAAAAAAATATTATTGGAGAGATGGATATTGAGAAATTCCAAATGTCTGGACTGATTTTGTATGGGGTTGAATTTTTTTTTAAAAAAAGGGCCGGGACACATTCCCATAAAAGCCAGGTAATAAAATTGCTGAAATAAAATTCCATCGATACCAGTTCTTAAAAAGTTAACATGAGTAATGCATTTTACCGTAGAAACCCTCAAGGAATCAGTAGTTGGAGTGAAATAAATAGCAACTCCAATGTACAGTGTGGAACTAATAACAGAGATGGAAGACATCTTAATACAGACTGTGAAATAAATAACCGATCTGCTGCTAATATCAGGACTCTCAAAATGTCTTCTACTCTAGGTATGTTCTAAACCCTTTTGTAATGTTAAGTCTTAATGCAAATAATTCTGATGGCCACACAGAATTTGGGAGAACCTTGTTTGATGAGCAAAATGTTCAAGAGTCTAATCATTAAGCTGATCTTTTTCTAATGTCCAGTAAGTACAGTGGACTTCAGAATTTCAATAACATGTCATTGGTACTGTTTTGTTTCCTCCTCTCCCTGCCTGCAGACTGTCATAATAGGGAAGATGGCAAAGATACCGACCTACCCCAGGGTGAAGATGATGAAGTGGAAGAAGATAGAGTTAGTGAAGATTCCATATCTAGTCACAGAAGCAGCCTGGGTGATGCTGCTGGAGATGCCGAGTTTGAGCAGAAGATCAATAGGCTTATAGCTGCAAAACAGAAACTTAGACAGTTACAAAACCTTGCTGCTATGGTGCAGGTATTTTATGAATATAATCTGTGCACAAAAATGTAGCATTGCTTATTTCATGTAATGTGTAACTTTCAGTAGGGAAAAACACTCTGCTTAGTGTTACATTTAAAATGCTCATTTTTAGGCTGGGAAAAAGATACTGTTTGATTTTTCTGAAGTCAGGGGTGATAATTACGAAGTTCAAATGGGAAATTTTCTTGGGGAATGCTAACCTAACAGAAGAATGGCCTTAATACTTAACCTTAGCACTGGATTAAAAAATATGAACCAAGAGGTCTGATTTTTTTTTAAATAATATTGATCTGCATTTTTAAGCTTATAATGAATAGTCATCAATTTTAGTTTCTGAACCTTAGGTTTTGCAACTTCATTCAATCAGTGAGGAAAAACTACTTGTGTTCGATTTAAAATCTTCAGATGTTGCAACATGTTCAAGTTGGGGTATTTTGCTTTGGGGCTGGGGGGATGGTTTTGGTTTTTTAGAATCTTGAGGGCCAGCCATGAACTGACAGTGTTTTTGGTTTTGAATACCTGCTGCTAATTTAGTGATGTTTATTAAAAACATTTTCATTAATCTAATGTCCCTACAGAATGCTCACATTTGAGTACCTTCTAATGTAATGTCTGCATACTGAATACACATAGATGTATCAGAAATGTAAAGGCTTTATGTGAGAACTCTAAAGTCAATCTTAATTAGAACATTATTTTGCAATAGCAACAGCATAAATGCTATGTTGTTATTGCAAGATTGTACTGCTATCAAATTTCTCAGCATTTAGATCAGACCTGGTTTTTTATCATCACTATAGAGATGTTAACTGTACAGTGGTATAAATCAGAATTAGAGATGATACAGCAGCTTCCTTAATAAATAATCTAATTAATGGCATGTCTTCAGTCTTTCCTTCGTATTTACAAGGCTTGTATCTGTATGTACTCAGTAATGGTACTGTAGGTTTGCGTAGCTGTCACTGATGATGATCTCTCCTGTTCAGCCGGTTCTGTATTAAGAACGATCATGTAGGAAAACAAAAGAAGCAGTGGCTACAGCTTTAATATTTTCAATTTAAGTTGAGAACTGAAAATACAAAAATTAGGAAAACAAGAAAAGTGGAATAGAGAACCATGTAGAAGACTGTTTCTAAAATATTTTAGATTTAACTTTCAAGAGTAGTTTTGGTTTAAGCTGTTAATAGTAATATTTAACTTCATGACTACAGTAATTAAGCAATCTTGTTCACCTCAGTCTCCTTCTATTCCTCTTTTCACCTCCCCCTTTGTTTCTTGACATGCCTGTGTGTTTCTCTCCACTCAGTCATATGCATAAAATACAATACAAGTGGTTTATGCTTCCAGAATCAGACAAGTTATCTTGCATTTACAGTGGAAGTTTCAATAGTGTGAGCTTTATAACTTTAAATTCTCTCATTAACTTAATTTATCTTAAAGTCAGGATGCCGTGAGGATGATGATGTCTCGGTTTATCATCTGAACTAAAGATAATGCTATTCAGAGTGTTTAGTTTTGAAAAATTAGTTTGGCAAAATAAACTCGTTACATTTTGTGTGTCAACTTGAAAATAGTCTAACTGCCCTTCTGACATTCTTTTAGGATGATGATCCGGAAGCTCAAGCAACAATTGCAAATGCATCTAATATAGGTGACTTGTTTTTGGGTGAGATGGAAGAGACAAAGCAACAACCAAATAATGTCCGAGCTAGTACCAACAAGTTACAAAAAGATGTAGGACTGAATGAAAAAGCAAGGTATGACTTTCTCAAAGGATAGTAGAATCATCCTTTAGGCAACTTCTTGCCAACTAATATGTGGATAACTTATTTACACAGAGAGAAGTTTTATGAAGCTAAACTTCAGCAGCAGCAGCAGGAGCTTAAGCAGTTACAAGAAGAAAGAAGAAAACTGATTGAAATTCAAGAAAAAATCCAAGTGTTACAGAAAGCTTGTCCTGACCTTCAAGTAGGTAGAATGTATTTCTTTGTTTTCTTAAGCTGTTGAGCAAGGAAACATAAAGTATCTTTCACACCATTTTTTCACTATAAAATTGGGAAAAAAATTAAAATTGGTAATACTTGTATACTGTAAGCAGCTGGACTTCTAAGCCTAGAGTCCGGTTATCTCATTCCACTGTAGGTTCTTGCTCAGTGATTGCTGTATCAAGCTCTAATTTTACTGTAGTTTGTCCTCAAAAGCCTTGATTTAAAGTCTTGAAAGATAGAGAACCTTCTATCTTATTTTTAGCCTGAAATTTGTCTGTTCATACCTGCTAGTCACTGCATCTTCACTCCTCTTAGTAGTCATTTACAGGGTCTTCTATTTTGAAATAATATATTGTGTCCTGTAAGCATGATCAACACTTTGTATTCAAACTTCACAGTGCTGTACTGTTTCTCATACTCTTTGAAGATGAACTTTTTTTCTGTGAAGTGAGCAGTAAATTATCAATACTGTGCATCTACAGCGTTGTATATGTGGTGGGGGTGACCCTGGCTGGATGCTAGGTGCCCACCAAAACTGCTCTATCACTCCCCATCCTCAGCTGGACAGGAGAGAGAAAATATAACGTAAGTCTTGTGGGTCAAGATAAGGGCAGGGAGAGATCATTCACCAATTACTGTCATAGGCAAAACAGACTAGACTTGTGCAAAATTAATTTAATTTTTTGCCAATCAAAATCATAGTAAGGTAATGAGAAAATAAAAACTAAATCTTAAAACACTTTCCCCCCACTGCTTCCTTCTTCCTGGGCTTAACTTTATTCCCAAATTCGCTACCTCCTCCTCAGCAGCACAGGGGGACGGGGAATGGGGGTTGTGGTCAGTTCATCACGTGTTGTCTCTGCTGCTCCTTCCTCCTC